ATCCTGTTCTTCATCCCATTCCTCATCCCATTCCTCATCCCATTCCTCATCCCCCTTGGCAGCCAGTGCAGCAGGGGACTCAGATTTAGGACAGAACTGATTTAGGGTCAGCATGGTGCTGCTGTCAGTGTGGTTTTCAATTATGTTTCAAGACCTTTTGTGTGCTCGCCTTGATTTATAAAACCTCCAGGACTGGCACAGCAACAGCTTCACCTGTTTAATCTCCGTCTGTTTACAGGATTGTTTATATGATTTAAACCAGTCATTTTAATTTGGGGGTTTTTTTCTCTCTTATTTGAGATTTGCATCAAAAGAGAAATCCAACACCCAACGAGCCGTGTGGATTTTGACCTCGAGCCTTGAGCAGGGCAGACTTAAGCATTTTTTGGTTTGTTTTTTTTCTGCATGGATATGCCTTAAACCCACTGGCTGGTGGTGTCCAGCAGAGACTAATGTTCTAAAGGTGCTCCAGGGTTGTTGGGGCACGGGCTGTGTGTGACCTCCTTCCCTCGGGAAGGGTTTGGACTGATGCTTCCCGCCTGCCAAATTTGTCTGTTTGGCAGCCGGGGCGCTCTGGGCCGACGTGGCTATATTTAGGTGTATCCCTCCGTGGCTGAGTTTATGAAGGCTTGTGTAGATTAGGGTAAAAAATTTATTTCACTCCCTGCCAACTCGCACATGTTGGCTGGGACGTCTCTGACGTGGTGCTGGAGACGAGGGAAACGAGGTTAATTCAGCCTGGGCTTGGAGCTCTTTGCAAGGCAGAATATTGAAGCTCGTTGCTTTGCTTGCAGTTAATTCTTTGAAGCAACAAAATCCCTGTTTCCTACTCGAGACACTGTGGATCTTTACATATAATTAATGTTGCAGCTGTTGGTCATCGTCAGGTGGGACCCACAGAAAACTTTTCTCCTGCAGTTCCAGCTGGAAGGGAAAGGTAAAGGCTGATGTTTTCCAGGCATGGTCTTTGCCTCGAGGAGAATTGGATGGGATGGTAAAAATCCCCTTGTGTGTTTGACTGGAGACAAGTTCAATTGAAAGGCTCCTGCCCTGGGGCTTAGGCCAGTTTGCAACTAAATGAGAAGTAATATCTGTGGCCTGTAAATACATGAAAGTCTCCGAGCAGTGTGGTGCTGTCTGCAGTGACTGAGGTGCTGTCTTGGGGATCTGCTGCTGCTTCTGTTCAGCTCTGGTATTTCCCCAAAGAAATAAAAATATTTTACCCACGTTATTTGTAAAAAGTTCCAATCAAAATATTTCACCGAGGGAAACGAGACAAACTGGGAAAGGAAAGTTTGACACAGGCGAGTCCTCTGCCAAGGAAATGCAGGAGTGAGTCTTGAGTGCTCAAAGCGAGGTGGGAAATGACTCCAGGATCTCTGGAGTGTGTTCCTTCCTGACATCTTGGTCCCAGGTGGCTTCAAACGTGCCCCCAGGAGCTTGTGCAGAGGGTGGGTTGGGATCCTGGGGACCAGAGATGCAGCAAATCCTGGGACAACGAAGATGGGGAAGGGCCTTGATTTCAAACCATGTGAGGACACTGAGGGCACTTGGTGTGTTCAGCTGGAGGAGACTGAGGGGAGACCTCAGTGCAGTTCCAACTTCCTGGGGAGGGGCAGAGGAGGGGCAGGGACTGAGCTCTGCTCTGGGGGGACCAGGGACAGCACCCAGAGAATGGCTGGAGCTGTGTCAGGGCAGGGTCAGGTTGGATCTCAGGGAAAGGTTCTTCCCCCAGAGGGTGGTTGGCACTGCCCAGGCTCCCCAGGGCAGTGGGCACGGCCCCAAGGCTGCCAGAGCTCCAGGAGGGTTTGGATGATCCTCTGGGGCACAGGGTGTGACTCTTGGGGATGGTCCTGTGCAGGACCAGGAGTTGGACTGGATGATCCTTGTGGGTCCCTCCCAACTCAGCATATCCTGTGATTCTGTGGAAGCTGAGGACAGGATTGCAGAGGCCACCACTCTGCCTGTGCCCTCTCACTTAAGGGGCTTCCCATGGGATCATCCATTAATGTATTTTACAGCACTCAGATGGTTTAGATGCTTCAAATTCTGTCTTATTTTCACACTGCACAGTGTGAGACTGCGCCAGCAGAGGCTGGAGACACATCTCTCTGTCTATAAATACACAGATATTTTATGCACACACGTCTGTATTTATATCCCTGTGCTGTTGCTTGGGTGCTGTGGAGAACCTCAGCTGTTGGTGCACATTGGGGTTGAAGGATCTGCCTCTCAGCAGGTGGCTCAAGGCAAAAATTCCTGCTCTTTGATGGATTGGAGGTCATCAGTTTATCTCCTCCCACTTCAGAGCACAGTGTCTGTCAAAGGATGCATTTTTTTGAGCTTTTGGCTGGTGACGTGTCCTTGGGTTTGAAAGTTGTAGAATTATCAGAGGTTTGAGCTGGAAGGGACCTTTAAAGACCAGCTAATTCCAAGCCTCCTGCACTGTCCCCAGGTGCCACAAACACATATTTGGAACACTTTCCAGGGGTGGTGCCTCCACTAATGCCCTGGGCAGTCTGTTGCAGGGCTTGACCACCCTGATATCCAACCTAAACCTTCCCTGGTGCAACTTGAGGCTGTTTCCTCTCATCCCATCAGACTAGATTGGAATGGAGTGGAATGGAATAGAATAAGAATGAGAATAAGAATAAAATATTTTCAGTGGAAAGGAACCTACAGTGATCACTGTGTCCAACTCCCAGACCCTTTCAGGGCTGCCCAAATCTTTGCACTTCCACTGTATTTGCCAGTTTGGCATTCCCAGCTTTCCCCTGCTGAACATCAAACTGCATCAACCTCAGTAGTGGCAGATAATGTGAATTTTCTCAAATTAGCTGTTACTCTCTCAGTTTTTCATTCTGAAGGGGTGATGCCTGAGCAGCTCTGGGGTCACCCTGTGGAATAGCTTTATCCCACTAAGATGTGCTCAGCATGTCAGTTCACGTTGCCGACTCAGAACTAACCTGCTGCCTTTGCCTTTTAACTAAAATCAAAATTATTTCGGTTTAAAAAAGCTCCTGGAAGAGATTAAATGCGCAGAACCATCACTTCAGCCTGTGTAGCAGCACTTAGATCATCCAGGGCTGTTCAGCAGGTAAATTAATCCACAGGGAACAATCCTAAATACCTGATTCAGTGACGAGTTTGCACATAAAACAGCTTTAGTGTAAACCAGTGAAAATTACGTTTCAAATGAACACAAATTGTCAATTAGAAAAGGGGCCAGCAGGACTTATTAGCTCCTTTTTTTTTGTTGTTGCTTCATTTAGAGAAAACTTATTTTGACACATAGTTATTTTGTTTTTCCTCAATTTCATGTGTTGGGAGATGACTGATGGCAGCTGCTGATTTGTTTCTACAAAGATTAATTAGACACATACCGAGATAGGCTTTTAAAATTAATGGATTTTAATGGATCAATGGATTTTTTTCCCCCTGTAAATAGACAACATAGTCTGCCTGCCCTGCAGACCCAGACTTTGAAATGGAGATTTTTCTAGAAAACCATTTCACACATATTTCTTAAGCAATTTGAGGGAGCAAGAGAAGTCTGTGAACATCTGTTTTCTGTTTTTATCTAATTTTCTTATCCTGAATTGTAAATGTGTTTACCTGACAGCAAACCTATGTTTAAATGCCAACAAACAAATACCAGTCCTTAGCAGTTGCATGTGTTGGTTTTGCATTTCAAAATATGTCGCAAACAACTAAATTTTGGAACATTTGATGGGATGCAAAGATCCCACTGCAGAGGCAAGAAACTCAATAGTGAGAAATAAAGCCATAGAAATAGGGGTGAAGGTTGAACTGTGTGGAGTTTGTTGGATGGATAAAGAACAGGCACAGCGGCAATTACAGGTCTTGACTTTTTTTAATGATGATTTTGTGATTTTAAATTCTAATTCCTGTCATAATGTCATTTAGCATGAGGAATTAAGGCAGATGAGTCCTTGGTCATGGAAGCTCATGGGATAGAGTCCAACTGGGCACTGTGCAGAGCCCCATGTGAGGGGCTGGCACAGGTTGCCCAGAGAAGCTGTGGCTGCCCCTGGATCCCTGGAAGTGTCCAAGGCCAGGTTGGATGGGGCTTGGAGCAACCTGGGCTGGTGTAAGGTGTCTCTGCCCATGGCAGAGGGGTGGAACTGGATGGACTTTAAGGTCCCTTCCCACCCAAACCATTCTGTGATTCTCTGACACATTCAGATAAGTTGGTGTGGGCATTGGGACCTTCTGTCAGTGACTGAGAGATCTGGTTGTGACCTTGAATGAATATGTGGGAGACTAAAGATGAAAGTCAGCAGCCCAAAGGGAGTTACAGCCACTGGGAAACTGCATAAGGATCCAGAAGACAAAAAATACCACCAGGGAGAAGGTGGTGGTGGTGTGGATCAATAGTGTTGCCACTTCCCAATGTGAAAGTCGATGTAGCAATGCTCCTCATCTGTAAAATGAAATAATCGAAGGGAAAATGGGTGGATTGCAGTTAAAGCTTCATAAAAACCTGCTGTCAGTCAAATGAGATAAGGGGTTCAGCTTCTGAACCAAACTAATCCCTGGAGCTGGTTGTTCTGGCAGGTCAGTGGGGGCTTCTCAGTGTCACACCTTGCAGGGTTACAGACTCCTGCCAGCACCTCCCTGCAAAGGTGAAAACTGCAGTGCAAATTCAAAGACACGAGGAGCCTTGGTAATGTTTCTTCCTTAGTAATTCCTGCTCTTTCTGGAATGGTGTATTTGAATACAATGCTGCACAGAATATTTAATACTCTCTGTAATTACAAATGGCTTTTAACAGTATGAGCCAAAACATTAGAGCTTAAATGTTCTTTTAGAAGTCGTAAGCAGCAACAGTATCATTAAACTAAAATCCATAATCTCTGATTTATGTGGATGTGGAAAGTCTGATGGGGCTCAGTCTTGGCTCTGGCATTGAGCAGTGTGTGTTCAGCCATTCCTGCTTTGTTACTCACTTTGTTTATCATCTCTCTCCCCCCTTCAAGCCACTCTGACAAGTTACTCCGAAAATGTGGAACGCACTAAATATGGAGGGGAAAGCAGTAAAGAGCTTGGATCTGGAGGAAACCTGAAACCTTGGCAGTCCCAGAAATCCAGCATGGACTCCTGCCTGTACCGTGTGGACGAGAACATGACGGCCTCCACCTACAGCCTCAACAAAATCCCCGAGAGGAACCTGGAGACCGTCCTGTCCCAGTCGGTGCAGTCCATCCCTCTTTACCTTATGCCACGGCCAAACTCAGTAGCAGGTAAGAAATCCACATTTGTGGCTTTTTTAGGTCAAGGCCAGACCCAGCACGTGGCACAAGCCCTTCTTGTGTCCTCCTTATCCGAGGAGAAATCTCCTTTCTGGAGTCGTTAAGAGTGACAAAAATTGTCTGTTCGTTTGACTTATTGCTTCCAAATGGAAAATTCCTGTGGGGAAAAGTGGTTCTGATGATGCTTAATGGTTATTTCAGCGGTTTGTGGTCCCTCTTCAGCAGTTTGTGGTCCCTCTCTTACAAAATTGTACAACTGAAAGATTATTGGAGAATATGTTTAAAAAGAAAAGATTCTTTGCTGCCCTTCCAATGCAGATATCTCAGGTTTGAAGTGCCAGGGCATCACAACCATTTCTACTATTTCAAAGGGTTCACTGTAAGTAAAATCAAGTGTCTGATCTTCTCTGAAGATCCTAAGAGCTTTGGAGTTAAGAGAATGGTGGGACTTTCTGTGTACACAAGGTTGGCTCTGGGTCCCATCTCTCGTGGTGGCCTTTGCCCCAAACATCTCAGTACAGGGATGTCCTCACACCTCACAGCACCTGGGACTTGCTGATGAAGAAAATCTTTTGTCTTGGCGTCAAATCAACATTATTTTGATTTAAATTCGTGTCTGCTGTTTAAAACATTCCAAAATGATGCTGTGCCCTCCCTCACTGATGTCTTTTCCCAGCCTGCCCAGTGTCCCCCTGAAGCTGGTGACAGCAAGGCAGAAACAAGAGATGGGATTAAAAATATTAAAGCTGCTTGCCTGGAATTATTCCCCTTTCCTTTATTGCCCCATATTTTTTTCTTGCTGTGTGACTCCTCTGGAGTAAAACATTCTGGAATGTGTATGTCTGTATAAACACGTGGAGAAATCCAGGCTTTGAATTCTGAGTCCCCGTGGATTCTCCCACTGCCTGGCAGCAGGAATGCTGCTCCAGAAAGTCCAGAGATGGTACTGAGAGATATCCCAGGATACTGCCTGTTAAATCAGCATCCCTTGGTGAACCAGGCTGTATTGCATAACTGGATTAAGTTCCCTTTTTAATCCCACTTTGGCCAGTCACAGACCTGAAAGCAATGGAGAAATGAGATTTTAGAGATACTGAAGTACAAACAGCCCGAGCACGGGGGTGTAGCACGGGCTGAAAACCTGCATTTCAGGCTGAAAACCTGCATTTCAGACTGGAAAGAGGGAATGGGAAAAACCTGGAAAGCTCTGCTTGCACAGCCTGGTTACTTTAAGATAATTTCTCCTAAATAACGTTGTGCAAACACCTTCCAAAGCCAACAGAGTGTGTTGGGCACTGTGAATTTAAATATACGTGTGTTGGTTTAATTGACTTTCAGAGTTATTGTCTTGCTTGATGCCTTTAGAGGGAAACACTGTTTGACAAGAAAACTACCCAGCAAGGCTCAGGAACACCTTTTCCTTCTGAATTTTTTATTTTTGGTGGAGTTTTTGCTGCTTTCTGTGTCAGCTTACACAATTCATGTCCCAGGATAAATCATGGTAGTGTTCAAGTAGAATTCAAGATTTGCCTTAACCTTTTATCATCCAATCCTCACATGTTGGCTCCTATAAGCTTGTGGCACCAGAAAATTGTGGGGTTAGGTAATGGATTTATATGAATGTTTTTCCCCAGGCCGTTTAACCTCGTTATCTTTGTGCTTTAATGATGGGAAAGGGAAACCAGGTGTAGCTTCAGAGTTGATTTAAAACCCATGTGCAAATGTACCATTGCCCAAAGAGTTAATCCTGAGCTGCCAATTCCATGTCCTTGCTCCAGCTCCACACGTGGGATAACCACTTGATAAACCAGATCAGTTGACTAATCCAACTGAAAATGAACCCTCCAGAAAATTGGTATATTCATTTATAACCTCAAGGTTGTCAGCGTGGAGGCAAAGTGTGGCTGGGCAGAAAACTGCCTTTCTTTTAGTGGCATTCCATGGTATTCCACATTTTAAGGTAATCACGAAATCACAGCTTTGCTAAAACAGGCTCTTCTTGTCTTATTTTTCTTGCATCGTCATTTTTTTCCAAATGCAGTTGAATTTGTATACAAACAGTCTGTTCTTGGGAACCAAAGCGTGGCAGCTTTTTTCTTTTTTATTCTGGTTTTTCTTTTTTCTTTAAGATTCTCCCAGAATATCTTCCAAAACAGCACAGAAATGTTCTTTCTCACAGCAGCTCACAAAGAGCAGTCACTGAACGTAACATGTCCCTGCTGTCAGCGAGCAGGTTACAACTGGGAGCAGCTCTTACAACACAAATTCTTCCCTGTGAGGGTGGGGAGGCCCTGGCCCAGGTTGCCCAGAGAAGCTGTGGCTGCCCCTGGGTCCCTGGAAGTGTCCAAGGCCAGGCTGGAGCAACCTGGGCTGGTGGAAGGTGTCCCTGCCCATGGCAGGGGGTGGCACTGGATGGGCTTTAAGGTCCTTCCCACCAAACCGTTCTGTGATTCCATGATTAATCTCATCTTGAACATTGTCACATAATGTACCTTCAGTTAAAAAAAAAACAGTTAAAAACACTTTAAAAAAACCAGTTAAAACCACTTTTTTTTTTTTTTTTTTGTAAAAAAAAATCAAAAAAAGAACAACACTGCAGGTTCCTGTAAGTGCCAGAGTGGGAGAGCAAATGTGGGTTTTGGTAAATCTCTGAGATTCAGGGGTTATATGTGATATTTTTTAAAAACTCAGGTGTGGGAGCACATCTGGTGGGCAGTGCTGAGTTACCACACAGAGTACAGATGTTATTTTATATATGCAATTTTATATTTTTTAGTATTTATTATTTTAATATTTTAATATTATTTCATTATTTTATATTAATATATTATATGCTATTATATATTATTATTTTATATTATTATGCATTATTTTATATATTTTATATACAAATTTACATATTACTTTATATATAATTTTATATTTTATTACTTTATCACTTGATATTTTAATATTATTTTATATTATTGTATATGTATGTATTATTTACTATTTATTATATATTATTATTTTATATTACTTTATATAATTTATTATTTTATATAGTTTATGTATGCAAATTTATATATTATTTTATATATGCAATTTTCTGGCATTAATCCCTCATCAGCTGTGAAGGGCACTGCTGTTTGCCTGGGCAACCAGCAGGGCAAAGCACTGCCTGGGAATTGGAAGGGGAACTGTGCTGAGGAAGGGAGACCCTTGGTGTTGGAGTTGGATATGCAGGTTTTGGAAGGAGCACAGATTTCTTAGGGAAGTTTGCATTTCATGTACACAAAGAACGTCCCGTTCTGTTTCTGTCACCCCTGAAATGAAACGTGAAATCTCGTGTTACTCAGACCACATGCATGGTTTATAAGGTCTGTTTAAATGTTAATAGGGAATTAAAATGCCCTTATATAATACTAGCTCTGCTCTTTTTCCTGTCAGAGAATATAAAATAGCAGCAAATATATTATTAGTTACAAACTTCAGTGGAACTTTCGTGGAATCACAGAATCCCAGACTGGTTCGGGTTGGAAGAGACCTCAAAACCCATCCAGTGCCACCCCCTGCCATGGGCAGGGACACCTTCCACCAGCCCAGGTTGCTCCAACCTGGCCTTGGACACTTCCAGGGATCCAGGGGCAGCCACAGCTTCTCTGGGCACCCTGTACCAGGGCCTCCCCACCCTGCCAGGGATGGATTCCTTCCCAATATCCCATCTATCCCTGCCCTCTCAGCTTGAAACCATTATTGCTGCAGGTATTGTTGGATCTGAGGGCAGGGTTTGAAGAAATGCCTGTGAATTCTGTCCTTTTGAGAACAAGGCCCTGGCAGGGGTTGGAATGAGATGACCTTTAAGGTGAACTGAATCCCTTCAGTCAGACAAGAGCAGCAACACCCCCCTGCCTTCTCCCCATCTCCCCCAGAGACCCCGTTTGCAGAGTCCACCCCTTCCCTGGGCTGCCAAATACCAGTTTCAGGTCGGGTTGGTTTGTATTTGTTGCTCAAATAGTGCCTTGACACTGAATTATCTTCCACTATTTGCTGTTTCCCTGGGAGAATTGCATCTACAGGATGCAAATATTGTTTCTAAGGAGACACTTTTCCCCTCTGTGGTGTTTTATCTGCAGTCACTGGGTCTCATTACGTGGGATAAGGTTCAGGATTGAGGGGAAGCTTTCAACAGTTTAATATTTTCTGAGATAAATTGGTCTTGCATAATTTTCAAAGTGCTGAAGCGTATTCTCAGGAAAAATTGCTCCCACTTCCTCTGGCCTTAGATCTCTTTAATTATTCCTCAGTTGTAAATCAGGAAGATAAATCTCAGTTCATCCTGAGCCCTGGCAGGGCACTTACTGACAATTGGGAAAATAACCCCTGGCAAAACTGCAATGGATCTGCAAACAGACACTGTGTGAGAGTCTCCTCTGTTGTGGCTGTAGAAGATGGTGATGATGATGAAGGTGGGAAGGGCTGCTGAGAAATAACTCCTCACTTCTTGTAGGGCCAGCAGTAAATCAGGCCACTGGCCACAAAGTCCACCCCTGCAAAACATCTGGGGTGGCAGCTGGTGCTCATCTCATAGGCAGGACAGAGGTGGAAATGAGACTCTTCAAACAACTGAAAGAAAAATAAAATGTACTGTCAGGATTGAAGTTCCTCCCAGGAAATGACACAGTTCTGGTTCTGAGCAAGCAGAGCTGACGGGCTTTCCTTGATTTGTAAGGAAAGACTGAAGAACCTCAGAGGGAGGTGGGTTGGGAGAGACCTTTAAAGTCCTCCAGTCCATCCCCCTACCGTGGGCAGAGATGTCTCTACAAGACCAGGTTGCTCAGAGCCCCATCCAACCCCCTGTAGGCACAGTCTGGCATGGATGGAGAGATGAGGGCTGGAGGAGGAAGGACCACCCTGCCTGATGTGGTACCAGGCTCCTGGGTACCCTCAGGACACTCTGGATCTTCCTGGGGGTGCTGCAGTGAACCTGCTCTTCCCCTGCGGATCCTCTGGCTCAGTGGCACTGCAAAACTGGGCAGAAATTGCAATGCAAAAAGCACATTTCAGGGACCAGCCAGGAGTGACCCTGAGGGTGATGTTGAGAGCTCAGTGCCCACAGAAAATAACCCGTGTCCCTGCTAAAGCCCCTTCTGTAATTGCAGCATCTCGGCTCTAATCGATCCTTCACAGTCAGCATCTAATCAACTTTGCACGAGTACAGGAGCATGAAGGACTTCTAAAAACAGACCTTGATGGTTTTATCCCTCTTTTTTATTTTTTCTTTCTCCTCTTGTTTATCTTTTGTCCTCTGTCTCCCTTTATCTCTTTCTTAAAACTTGGAAAGTTCAGGCAATTTGAAGAACAGCGTTAAAAATTCCTGCCCCTTCTCCCCACCTGTGTTAGAGTCTGAATCTTGCTTAATTTTTGACTGCAGCACCATCCTGTAAAGATGTTTACGTGGTCATTAAGAATTGTATGAAAAAATGTGTTTCCCTTCATTTTGAAATGTTCTGCCTTTCGGTTTTGTTGAATTGTTGCATCTTGTGTTGGGTCACAGGGAGGAAAGATCCCAAGTCTGGTGCCCTGAGTGACTCTGGAGAGCTGTATCAAAATATTTACCCAATTCCCAGCAAATAATTACTGTCAGCTTCCTGAGCAGCCTTTGGAGAAGTCATTTAATGAATTAGTTCAATTTAAAATAATAATCTTGTTGTGGTAATTGACTGAAAAAACAAGGAAATAGAAGCAGTGCTGCAGACAGAGTGCTGAGCAGCCCAGGGCTGGTTTCCATGGGTTAAAGTTTAATGTGAATTTTGGAAATGGTTATCAGAACAAGAGCAGAGCTGGTGATCTGCAAAGACTGATTTTAAAGTTTTCTGTTTCTAATTGGGAAGATTATTTCATGAAATGAAGTTTTCATTCCTTTGCTTTATAATACTCTGTAAATTCCTTGGCTGACAAGGGTCTGAAATGGCAGAATAATGGGTAAATTCAGATGCAAGGGATCCAAATTTGTTTTGTTAAGCCACATTTTCTCCTATTTTCCAATCATCACCATGGCAGCAGCTTTGTGGCCAGTGTTAGCTCTAGTCTGCTCCAACTGTGCTTATCCATGTAGTGATGGCACCTTCAGCAGAGACCAATTAATTATTCCTATTTAATCCAACATTGCAAAGAAAACTAAATTCTCCCATGAGCAAGTCACGTTGGAATAGTAAAGTTATCTTCTTTAGTTCAGATAATATTTTTCTCATTTATTCTTTTTTTTTTCTTTTTTTTTTTTGTTGGGTTGTTGAAAGTTTAATTTTTCAGCCACTAATTCTGGCTTTAGGGACAGATAAATGTTAATATCTGAATTAAGTAGCTCTAAAATAATTGAGGAGGAGATTGTGGGCTCCAGCATGAACTGCACTGGTGAGTTGTCTTTTACGTACAGGAAATGTTGAGTGTCTGTGTCAGCTCTGCACAGACGTGGCTGAGTTTGTGATTGGGAGGAGTGAAATCAGATATCAGAGACTCCATGTCTCCATTTTCCGTGTGTCTGCTTTTATTTGGGAACATCAACAGGAGACCAAACCAGAGCAGGCACCAATGGGGCATGAGAAGAAGTCACCAGAACACTTCTTTACTCCTGGCTGAGGGCAGTTGGAATTGGTTCATCTCAGGGTGGTTTTAACTGTGTATAAAAATAAAAATCCAATAACCAGAGGCTGAAATGCAAAGGCCAGGGGTGTGATGTGGTTCTTTGCTCTCTCCTGGCAGCCACCAGCTCGGCCCACCTGGAGGACCTGGCGTACCTGGACGAGCAGAGACACACCCCCCTGCGCACCTCGCTGCGGATGCCGCGGCAGAGCGTGGCCGGCGCCCGGGCACAGCAGGACCTGAGAGGTGGGAACTCCTTGTCCTGGGGAATTCCCACTCATGGGGGTGTGTGGGGTGGGAGCTTGGGTTGCACCTGCTTTGTCTACATCCATGTGAAAGTCAGAATCCCAGAATAGTTTGGGTTGGGAGGGACCTTAAAGATCATCCAGTTCCATCCCCTGCCATGGGCAGGGACACCTTCCACCAGCCCAGGTTGCTCTGTCCAACCTGGCCTTGGACACTTCCAGGGATGGGGCAGCCACAGCTTCTCTGAGAATTCCATTCCAGCCCCTCACCACCCTCACAGGGAATAAATTCTTCCCAGTATCCAAACCTACCCTCCTCCAGCTCGAGGCCATTCCCCCATGTCCTGCCCCTCCATGTCCTTGGGAAAGGTCCCTCTCCTGGTCTCTTGTGACCCCTTTAGGTTCTGCTAAATGGGGCTTTTATACTACTCCTGTTCCAAAGGTGCTTTTTGAGGAATCAGAATAGTCTGTCTGTGATTTCTCTGGCTTAGAAACATCACAGACTTGCTCTGATTGGGGAGACTGCAGTTTTAGAATTACAGAAGCACAGACTGGCTTGGGTTGGAAGGGACCTTTAAAGGTCATGCAGTCCAGTCCCTCTGCTCATGCCATCTCCACTGAGACGAGGCACCCAATATTCTCTGATCACAAATCCATGGCAGTGCATTCTCCTTACAGTATGGAAGAATTCCTTCCCAGTATCCAACCTAAACCTACTCTCACTTTGAAGCCACTCCCCCTTGTCCTGTCCCTCCATCCTTTGTCCAAAGTCCCTTCCCAGTTCTCTTGGAGCTCCTTTAGACACTGGAAGGGGCTCAGAGGTCTTCTCAGACCCTTCTCTTCTCCAGGCTGGACACCCCCAGCTCTCCCAGCCAATCTCTGATCCCCATGGGGTTAATATTTTGATAATTTATAAAAAATTAGAAATTTTAACGGACTACTATTGTTTTTAATTCTTTTTTTTTCAATCCAAAGCCAAGGTTTGCAGCCCCCCCTTGCATTTTGCAGGATGCCAGTGGGGAATGAGCCCAGCACAGTGACAGGGCCACTGTGCCAACGTGTCCCTCATAGGGATGCTCACAATGCCCACATTCAGGCAGCCCTTTGCCTTCTGAAAGGCCCTTTGAGAGGGGAGATTTTTGTGGTTCTTCCTGGCAAATTGCACAAACAAGATGTTAGCAATGAGAAGAGGAGCCAGGGCTGACATTTTAGTGTTTTGTTTGTTCCCAGGCAGCTCCAGCTCCATTTGCTCCATGTCCTTGGGATTTTTCAGCCCACCCTACAACTTCCATCCCCCCTTTAATCTGAGCTCAGTCTTTGGCCACATGCTCAAGCTGTCACTGGGGCAGCCCTGAGTCTGCAACAGAGCATTGGGTTGATGCTTCATCCCCTCATTTGTCATTGCACAGGTGAATAAGTGGCTGGGAAAGCTCATTTGGGATATTTTCAGGTTGTTTCTGTGCCTGGTTTATTCTCCCCTGTACAAAGAAAACGGATTTATTTTGGCCATACATGAAACTTTCCTATTCTCTGGGGTGTTTTTGAGCAAGTGCCACCATCCTGGGGGTGAGGAACTGGGGAGCTGGAGGGCACAGGTTGGGTTTTCACCCAGCCCCACACGCCCGACCTGGTCCAGCCTGACTGGGCTTTGTGCCAAGGAATGAGCCTCCCAAAAACTGGGTTTGGGAGCTGTGGAGGGCAGTTTGTAATGAAATCCCCTGGCTGGGGAGGCACTTCTAGAAATGCATTAGCAGGCAGTGAGTGAAGAAAGCAAAAGTTTGACAGACCAAATTTCCATATGCTGGGAGGCAGCAGCTTGCCAAGGCTGCATAATTTGCAGTGATTGCATCCAAAACATTCAACTTTATTGTAGGAACAGAATCAAATTGTTTTCCAGACACACTTTTTTAAAACCCATGTAGCACTACATATTTTCTTTCTGCTTTTTGTTCTTTTTTTTCCCCTCCCTCCCTTTTTTGTGACAGTTGCCTGAGAAGAACAGCAGCGTTTCGGGGTTTTTTTGGAATTTGTTTCTGATCCTGGTTGAGGCACTTTTGCTGTTTTGAAAAAGAGAGGGAGAAGAAGAGGATGTGAAAAAAAACCCCAACCCATCACTATTTGGAAATATTTTCATTTAAATTAATATGTGAGGGGGGGCTCCCCTTTCCCCCCCAAAATGCTTCGTGTTGCAGATATTACTGTGAAATTACATCAGTCTGGGCTGGTATAAACAGCAGCTCTTTGTTCCAGCTGGAAATCCTAAACTTGGGTTTAATTTTAACGTCTCTGGTCTTGGCACTGGGCTGAAATAGCAAAGCCATTCCTGGCCCAGTGTCGAGGGACATGTTACAACCCACTGGTTATTCCCAGCGTTCCAAAATCCCAGAGAGATACTAAATGGCAGACTGGCCCTGCTATTTTTTGTTAAATCAGTGCTTTTAACCAGGGGAGTAGTTGAGCAATCCCAACACAAAGAGCATGACAAGGATTCGTCCCAGTGACGGGTTTTTAATAGGATGGGGAAGGCAATTTTTGCTTTCCCTGCTTTTCGTCCCGTGGGATTTGAGGCTGCTTGGGGTTCCTGTATCCCAAAAACCCTCTGGCTGTGATGCGGAGCAGGAGCCAGATGGCAACAAAATGAGGGGCATTGGAACACCCCAGCTGGACCATCAGGGTTTTTTTTTTTTGCTCCAAAATGCCAGCTGATGCAGGGCAGGAAGAACCAAGGTGTCTGAGGTGGAGGAGTGGATGGTTTACACTCCCCCAGTGTATATTATTATATGTAATATATAGATATATATAAATATATAAATATCTATATATGTAATATATAGATAGATATAGATATAGATATGTAATATATAGATAGATATAGATAACTATATAGATAATATATGGATAAAACATGAAACAATGGCATGTTTTCCTTAAATTTTCTTTTATAGTTTTCAGAGGGTTTTCCTCATGGTATGTGTTCAATACTGTCACCTCTTGGGCAGGAGAGTTTCGTGTGCTTCTTAAAAACACTAAAAAATAGTTTAGTCTTTTTTAGGCCCGTGGACTGTGAGAAATAGGAACTGGTTTCATCCCAGTGGCTGTTTTAAGATAACAGTTGAAAGAATCAGGAATCATTAAGGCTGGAAAAACCCTCTAAGATCATTGAGTCCAACCAGCCCTGCCAAGGCCACCACTAACCCGTGTCCCCAGGTGCCACATCCACAGGGCTTTTAAATCCCTCTGGGAATGGGGACTCCACCCCTGCCCTGGGCAGCTGTGCCAGGGCTGGACAGCCCTTTCCGTGAAGGAATTTTCCCTGATATCCAACCTAATACCCAGGAGCTGCAGTCTAAAGCAATAAAGGGGAGAAACTCAGACATTTGGCTAATTTGTGGGTTCTTAATTAAAGAAGGACACAGCGGATGGGGATGGTTATTCAGAACCACAGTTCATTGTAAGAAATACAAAGCACTTCTCACCTGGGCTTCTTCTTGGTATATTGGCATTGTCAGGCTGTGGAGCCCTGTAGTGGCTGGTTTTGGGCAGCAAAATGTGTCCTCCATCAGAAAAAAATTCTAAAACAGCAATAAAACTCATCTAGAAAAAAACAGAAAACAGCTCATGAGCTGTGGGTGCTGATTGCCAGCATAGCTAAGAAAAAAAAATCCCTGTTTGGAGAGAGGGAAGTATGTAAAACATGATTTCTGAACAGGCATTTTAGAGCCTTTCAACGACTAAAATAACTAAAAATTCACTTTGTGTAGCATAGGGTGTAAAGCAGGGCAGGCCTTTCTCTGACTGTGCTCCTGCTCTTTTCCATCTCAGTGGCTTTTTCCAGCTGTGCACATAAAAATACACCTGGATTTGGGTTGATTGAAGTGAAATTTTCAGAACCAGGATGGGTATGGGAGGCAGTGCCTCAGCTTTGGGATTTGAGTTTAGTTTGGGTCCTACAGAACTTGCACATGAAAATTTTCCTCTCTCAGACCTTATTCTGTCCCACTCCACACACCCTCGTTCCCACGGAAAGTGGGGGTTTGATTTGTGTTAAGGTATTATCAGAAATTTGGGCTGTTTCTGTGGTACTCTGGCTTCAGTTTTATAAAATGCTCCATTTCAAGGAATATGAATCCCAGCAAGTGTTTGACAAATTTTCAAGGATGGGAAGGCAGCTTATGCACATCCTTTGATTTTCACAAGCACTGAAGTCAGCAGCTGTCAATGTTCATCCAAAATGTGTCTGCACATCCTCACCCCATACTCTGAACCTTCCTTTCCTGCTGTTCAGAGCGTTTCTCTTAGCTTATCCTTTAATTAATTAATTAATAAATGCTGAAGCTCTGCTGCAGCCTCCCTTCCTTGTGATCTGGGGTATTTTTTTTCAACTCTTTGAACACAAAATTTCCCCTGGAGCTCCGGAGTCTTCCCCTGTGGTTGTGCCTTTCCTGGGGACCACTGGCACTGAGAGTTGTAAAATAAAAAGAGTGGCCAGGAGGATTTGGAGTGGTTCAGCAGACAGGCCTGGGAATTAATGAGGATCTGGCACATGGACTGCAATTAGTCAGCGCGGTCTTAAATTATTCCCGAACGTTTCTGGCAGTCCAGCGAGGAGAACGTTTGTCTTCCAGACACGGCGTGGTGAAATCAATGCCTCCTGCTGGCACGTGGAGGGGGTTTGGTGGCTGGTGGGACAAAAAGCATGTTCTCAACCTTTCTCTCCAAACCAGTGAGGCTCATTTTGAGTGTTTTCTCAACCCCCTGCCCTCTGGGAGCCCAGGGATTGCAGAGCCTGAAGCGGTGAAATGTCCCCCCAGGGTGGCAGGAGAAGGGCTTTGCTTTGTTCTGGTCAGTGACTGGTGGTGTTGGAAGAACCAGGAGGTTGGATGTAGGTAGATAAGTGATCTTGGAGGTATTTTTCCAACCTAAATGATTCTCTGATTCTGTATCTGAAAAAGAAATCTCCCCTAATACCCAATCTAAATCTGCCCTGGCACAACCTGAGGCCATTTCCTCTTGTCCTGTCCCTTGTGACCTGGGAGAATTCGTCTCTTCTTCCAGTTCCCACCTAAGAGCATCTTTGCACCATGTCTGTGCAGTCAGTGCTCTTTAGGTTATGCATTCCCTGGGTAGCTTGTGCCAAGTGGAAAAAATGGCAAATACCCTCTCCCTTCACCCTCAGATGCTCCCGAAATAGTTTAAAGGCTGGTTTGGATTTTGCTGCGTATTTTATTATAATCTAATGCATTAAAAAAACGGGAAAAGGAACACAATCAATATCCATGTTTTTAGGTGCTGGCAGTGCCCCAGCCCACGTGGTCTGTGAGGGAAGATATTTCTTACTCTCCCTCTTAACCTTAGGTTGCTTTGCAACATCGTGTTTCCTTGTGAAACAAGACAACGTTTTAATTGCCAAACAGGAACATCCTGTCAGCAATCTGGTTTCACTTATTTACTTTAGGAGAGTCGAAATAACTTCGCTCAGATTGATTTAGCACTTGTAGGTGCTGAGATTGTTCTGTGCTCTGAGCAGGTGAGCAGACGTTGTGTGTCTGGATTGAACAGACAATCCTGTCTCCCAGGGGATGCCGTGCAGAGCCCAGTGTTCTGCCTGGAGCCTTTAATTATGGTGGGTTTAAACAAGGAAATTAATTTCTCCAGCCACACTTTTTCTCCACAGCTCTGAGCCACTTCATCCTGTAAAATTCTCTGAACTGCTTTGGTGGAAAATGGTGTGAATGAGTCCAGCTGGAGATGAAGCACCACAGAGCCTCTTGCTCAATCCCCTTTCTCTTCCCCCCACACCCCGGTGAAACGGGGAGGAGGATCAAAGTAAAAACTGTAGGTTGAGATAAGAACAGTTTAATAATTGAAAATAAAGTAAAATACAGTAATAATATTGGTAAATAATAATAATGATAATAAAGAGGGGAAAACCAAGAGACTCACAATACACCTGCTGATCGATGCCAGAACCCCCTTCCCAAATCCAGATCAGCCTCTTCCCAGCAATTCCCCCAGTTGATATAGTGGGCAGGATATTCTGTGATGTGGAATATCCCTTTGGCCAGTTTGGGTCACCTGTCCCAGCTCTGCTGACTTCCAGTTTCCTTTGTGCACCTCCTCCCTGGCAGAGCATGAGACAAGAGAAAACCAAAGTCCTTCACTTGGGATAAAAACGATTTAGAAAAAACCAAAATCAAAGCACAGCACTGGGACAGCTGCTGAGAAGGAATTAATTCTTCTCAGCTGAAACCAGGACAATAAGAGGAGTCTGAGGGGAGACCTCACTGCAGTTCCAACTTCCTGGGGAAGGGCAGAGGAGAGGCAGGAACTGAGCTCTGCTCTGGGGGGACCAGGGAGAGCACCCAGGGAATGGCTGGAGCTGTGTCAGGGCAGGGTCAGGTTGGATCTCAGCAAAAGGTTCTTCCCCCAGAGGGTGGTTGGCACTGCCCAGGCTCCCCAGGGCAGTGGGGACAGCCCCAAGGCTGCCAGAACTCCAGGAGGGTTTGGCCAACGCTCTGAGGGACAGGGGGGGATTGTTGGGGTGTCCTGGGCACGACCAGGAGTTGGACTTGATGATCCTTGTGGGTCCCTCCCAACTCAGCATATCCTGTGATTCTGTGAATGCAGCAGGTGCTTTACCAACAAACGTAAGGAAACGAGTGTCCTTGTCACCTTTTGAGATGAAAAGATTAAACATCATCTCCAAGCCCTCCTTTCCCCGCCGGCGTGCCCGGTGACGTCCCCTCTCCGTGTCTCTCCCCCCGCAGTGCGGTTCGCGCCCTACAGGCCCCCCGACATCTCCCTGAAGCCGCTGCTCTTCGAGGTGCCCAGCATCACCACCGAGTCCGTGTTCGTGGGCCGCGACTGGGTGTTCCACGAGATCGACGCGCAGCTCCAGAGCTCCAACGCCAGCGTCAACCGGGGCGTGGTGATCGTCGGCAACATCGGCTTCGGCAAGACCGCCATCATCTCCAGGCTGGTGGCGCTCAGCTGCCACGGCACCCGCATGAGACAGATCGCCTCGGACAGCCCCCACGCCTCCCCCAAGCGTGAGTGCAGAGCACGGGGGGGTGAACAACTCAGGGACCTTTTAGGAGGGTTTTGTTTGGAATAATCCCATTTTTCTCTTCAGGACCCGGAAATCAGCTTGGTGCTTGTTGCCAAGCAGAGGAAGGACCTGTCAGCAGTATGTCGTGGAGTGGTTTGGGTTGGGAGGGACCTTTGGGCGTCATCCAGTTCCAACCTCCAGCCACAGGCAGGGACACCTTCCACTAGCCCAGGTTGCTGCAAGCTCCATCCAACCTGGCCTTGGAAACTTCCAGGGATGGGGCAGCCACAGCTTCTCTGGGAATTCCATTCCAGCCCCTCACCACCCTCACAGGGAATAAATTCTTCCCAGTATCCAAACCTACCCTCCTCCAGCTCGAGGCCATTCCCCCATGTCCTGCCCCTCCATGTCTTTGGGAAAGGTCCCTCTCCTGGTCTCTTGTAGCCCCTTTAGGTTCTGCTAAATGGGGCTTTTATACTGCTCCTGTTCCAAAGGTGCTTTTTGAGGAATCAGAATAGTCTGTCTGTGGTTTCTCTGGCTTAGAAACATCACAGACTTTCTCTGATTGGGAAGAGTCCAGTTTTAGAATTACAGAAGCACAGACTGGCTTGGGTTGGAAGGGACCTTTAAAGGTCATCCAGTCTAGTCCCCCTGCTCATACCATCTCCAGGGAGATGAGGCACCCAGTGTTCTCTGATTATAAATCCATGGCAGTGCATTCTCCTTCCAGCATGGATTGTCTCAGTTTATTGTGGTATAAATGTTCAGGGTGGGTCACAAGCCCATGTAGGCTCAGCAGCAGGTTTGCTCTCCCTCCTGTGGTCCCATCCAGTTCCCATCACTCTGTGCTGGCAGGTTTGCAGGTGGGGCCGACAACATTTTAAAATCACTCAGCTCTCAGTAAGTGAGTAAGACAGGACTAAAAATACTGGGTGAGGTACCTGGAGTTATCTTGGAGGATGTAGGTCACTGTACCTCAGAGAAGCTGCAGTTAAATCTGTTTACTGGAGTGCAGGGCTCTTGCCCTGTCAGAAGAGCTGAAATGTCACCGGGGGTTGGCATGTTCAGTAGTGTCACTTGTCAGAGCTAAATGAACAATGTGGAGTGAAAGGCAGGGCTTGTTTCTATATTTTAACTGCAGCTCTGCAGTGCACCAACTGTGTGTGTGTGTCCCCAGTCTGCTGAGGGGGATTGTGGAGATTAAAGAGACCACTGTGCTTAACTCTTTCTGGACTAAAAGCTGGGTTTCTCCCATGAGAAGGTGCCCTGCACCCTTCATGCATGAAGAATGAAGATCCTAACACAGTCTGGTGTGTCCATGAAGTTGAAAGCTGAATGATTCCTCAGTGTTAGTTATTGGGATGGAAACCTTCAGAATCAGTATTTAATTTGACTTTTTTTCCTTAAGAGATCACAAGTCCTAGTTTAGCTGTAGAAGATGATAATTATTCTGTGAGATCTTTGTGGGTCCCTTCCAACTGAGGATATTCTGTGATTCATCTCTGATTCTATGATAAGTTTCTTTGTTGTTTCTTTTTCCACATGCTGAAAAAAAATCTATTATGCTTAGTGAAATCTGTGTTTAATAATAAGTGCTAATCAGGTGGTCTGACTCTGCTACAGCAGTTGTGCAATCAGCATTAGTAAAGTGGCTTCAATACAGCCTCATCCTTCTAATTCCTGTCTCAGAAAATTAATACAGGTGACAGTGGTGTTACAGGCTCAGAATCAAGGATGTGCCTCATCCTAATGCCCAGGGTTTAATTATGGAGGCAGCATCCTCCTCCTCTGTTGTTTGCCATTAAATGGGTCATTGTTTGCATGATGATTTCCAGTCAAGCTCAGGGATGCACTGCAGCAATCCAGGCAGGAGAACCCTGTGCCAGCACAGGCTGCACTTCAGGGTGGTGTTGTTCTTAAAACATTCCTAAAATAACCAGTAATTAGACATCAGCAAGTGCTGCATGTCTTGGTGTCATTCAAAAATCCTCTGTGTGGGTTCCTGGGAGTGAAGATCAGTGTGGTTTGAGAATGTTATCCACAAAGGCCAGGTGGATGAGCTGTGGTAGCAATCTGCTGGTAAAGCCAGTTTGTGCTTGCCAGGCAAAAGAAGCAGCTGAAGTGCAATAGAACACAGTTAAACTTGCCAGAGATGATTCCAGGATAATTTATTATTTGCTTGCAAGCCTTTTCCAGATCCTGGTGCTGCTCCTTCTCCTCTCCCCCTGATTACATTAATGGGCTTCAGATGGCTGTGTTAGCTGGGGCTCTCCGTTTATTTATGTTAGAAAATAGGCTCATAATTCAGAAAAATTGGCTGTCTGTGCTGAAGGAGGACTTGGAACCAAATTAACCAGCAATTGCTCATAACGAGGTCTGTTGGCAGAAGCGCAGAGCAGGAGAGCTCTGCACTCAGATCCACCAAACCTGAAGGCAGAGCCTTCCAGAGTGCCCAGTTCACTCCATTATTGTCATTACTTTAAAGCCAATGAAATTACAGTGGAGAAGGTGAATAATCCTAGAATATGCTCAGTTGGAAGGGACCCATCAGGATTATCCAGTCCCAACTCCTGGCCCTGCACAGGACACCCCAAAAATCCCACCATGGGCCTGAGGGCATTGTCCAAACACTCCTTGAACTTAGACAGCCTCCAAGCTGTATCTTAAAGGTCCTTCCCAAAAGTGCTGCTCCAAAAAACAGTTTCTTGGGGAGCCTCCGGCCTGGAAATCCCTGAAATCCTAACCCAGAGTATTTGTGGGAATTATTTTAACTGCCGTGCTTAGGAGCTGCCTGGTCTGTAATAAAGCTGTCAGTGCTTGGCCTGTGGCAATTCCTAACCTCTTTTTTCCTTGGGCAGATGTGGATGCCAACCGGGAACTGCCCCTGACCCAGCCACCTTCTGCTCACCCGTCCATCACCAGCGGGAGCTGCCCGGGCACCCCTGAGATGCGCCGGCGCCAGGAGGAGGCCATGAGGAGATTGGCCTCACAGGTATGGAAAACATCCCTCTCTGGGCTCTCTGGGGCCTTGGGAAAACGTCAGTTGGAGTGGAAGTCCTGTGACTCACGTCACTCTGCACGCTGGAAAACACGCGCGCTCAAACGGCTCCCGGGGAGCCTCCAGAGAGAACCTCTGGGAGGAGTTTTATTGCCCAGGAAAGTTGTTTTCTCTGAAGTGAAATTCAAGTTCAGGCTACATCAAATACACACTCCCCTGCTACTCTGAGGGTTTGTCTTTCCCAGCCATCCTGCTATCTCCTTACAAATGTTAGGATGTGACACGGTTATTACCAGAATAATTGTGGTTTTTCTTTAGCAGTGAGAACAAAACTGCACAGAGCTTGAACAGTGTTTTGTTGGAAAGGGTAGGGTGGGGGGAGGCCCAGGCTGAGTGTTGCTGCTGTGTGTGCACTTGGGTATTTTTTGGGAAATCCTCCCAAGCAGCTCAGAGCCCTTGGAGCAATACACAACTCACTTGCTGCTCTGGCAGGAGTGGATTGTATGGAACATATGGAACACTGTCACTTGTGTACGTGAGATTTACAGCTTGAGTTTTATTGTATTACTGAGGTTTAACCCTAATTCTGTGGTGGTGGGAAGGTGCCATTCTATTCCTTTGAAATCCGAGGAGTTTGCTCACTCTCCTCCTACCCCTTTGGGGGGGATGGGAGCAGTTAATGCTTTCCTCTGCCTGCTCCTGCTTTGGAGAGGAAAATAACAAGCAAAAGTCTTTGTTCTAAATTATTACCAGGACGTGTTTTGCTTGGCTTTTTGTGCCAGATACTGTCTTGTCCTGTCTGCTTTCGTGCTGACCCAGATGGCCAGGCAGGGAGAGTGTGGTGGCTGCATAAATAAATATTAAGGCTTGATCCTCTCCTCTTCCACGTGGAGTTCTTGAAAGGAATGCGATGCCCAGGTCTGGTTTTGTTCAGAACACATTAGTCATCGTATTCCTTGCAAATCTGAAGCATTGCAGACTCCCAGAAAGGGCAGTAAAATGTGCTGTCTCTGCTTAAAATACCTCATCTATCTCAGCTTTCTTCTCCTGAGTGCTTAAGTCATCCTGCTGGGTACGTAACTGAGAAATGGATGCAGTTTTAGCTTCAGTTTCCTCCTGGAAAAGGTAAGGGAGATGGCTCTTTCAAACATTCTGTCACATCCACGGCATAGATCACTCACTGAAGCTTTTTGGCATCTCTCATCACCGGAGAAAAGAGCAAGAAACAATCCTTACAGCCAACATTAAACCAGAAATAGGTTGTTTTACCTTGGCTGCAGACTCCTTTAGGAAAGGGTTTTAAAGCCCTGCTCATCCCTCGGCCAGAATTTTTTTTTCAGAATAAATCCTGTGTGTTGGTGACAGAACACAACAGCTGAGGGTGGGAGATGTCCTGCCCCTCGTGCCTGCAGCAGGATTACACCCTGGGAGTAAGATTGTTCATCTCCCAGGAAATCTCCTCTGCTATAAGTGTAGATTCCAGAAATAACTGTCACCGGCTCCCAGACATGAGGCCTTGATGAGGGGATCAGTGCCAAGGCTGATGAGTTGACCTTAGAGCTCTTGGAATCCCTTCTTCTGCTCAAATTGCTGACACAGCACGTGGAACTTCCGAAAATTCCATCGTGTTCAGCAAACAATTCCCGGGATGAGTCAGAGCGGCGGCGCTTGATTCAGCATTCGGAGACCTTGGGCCGATTCCCAGCGCTGCTGTTAGCCTTGCTGGGATCCTTGGAGACCAGCATCTCCTCTGCCTGCCTCCCTTTCCCTGGCTGTTAAAGGCAAAGTGATCTCTGAAGATCTTTGGATGCCTGGTGCTGGAGGGAACACGGAACCGGGTGACAGTGGTTGATTATTTGGGAAGAGCAGGTGACTTCTTGCAGCACGTGCTGGCTGAAGACATGCACTGTAATAAAGCACGTGGTTAAACCCCCAATCAAAGCTTCATTTCCTGTCACAAAGGGAAATAATTCTGAAAGTGCAAGAATTATTTTTTTTTTGGTCAATTTTTTATTCTGTTTTCTTTGACAACAATTTGGTTTTATTGCTTCAGAGCCTTTTCCAGAAGGGCCGTGCGGCACGCTCCAGACCATGAGTTTGATGGATTACCAAGCCTCAGGAAGAAAAATAAAGGCAAATAAAATGGTTAAGGATGTTTGTCAGATTGATAGCTGGGAGTTGTGTGCACAGTGCACTCGTAGTAACCTCCTGAGTAGCACAACTCGGCATCACCACCGAGGAATCCTTGCTGTCAGCAGTGGATAAATTGATTTGCTTGGAAGGAGCCGTGCCGTGTGATGTCCTCCTGGATAAAACAAACACTCCCTGTTCCTCCCCAGCTGTGGGGCTTGAAGCCTCTGAGTGACACTGGGGGGAAAAAGGATTACTGACCTGGCAACAGAATTGAAAATCCATTAAAATAACAGCGTGGAGCCCTTTGTTCTGCCTGCAATCAGCTCGTTCAGAAAGCCCATCACACGTGTCTGACTCGCCTTTGAGAGACCAGGACAATTCTGAGGCTTTGAAGATGCTGAACCCTCACCAGAGCAAAACCACTGAATGGCTGGGAGACAACAGTAAAAACAGTTAAACTAATTTAGCTGCTTAAACTGAGTGTCTCGTGCCACATTCTCCAGCAAGGGACAGTTTAGGAAAACCTTTATGTACATAAGCTAAAGGCTATCCAAAATAATAAAGAAAAGAAGGGGAAAAAAGGAGTGGAATGTCCTTGGATGCAGGAGGAAGGGAGAGAAGAGCAGCACATTGCTGTGTCAGTAGCTGTGGAACAAAGAAAGAATTGTTGATGGCCTCCTTAAACAGCTTCTGTTCAGCTGGCTGAAGGAAAAAGAGCCCAAAGAAGTGAAGGACCCGTTGGTCAGTCTGGTTGGAAAAGCATTTCTTGGACATGTGTGTTTTATAGTTGTATTGAGACTAGGAGTCAGAATTGAAGTAGGGAAGGAAGTGTTGGCAGTGATGGACAACCACAATTTTCAGGAATATTTTTGGAGGCAGATGAGCCATCTGTGAGGAGCTGGATGAAGCTGTGTGCAGATGTTCCAGCTCTGTGAGCGCTGAGCAGAGCGGGATGTTCTCAGGTTGGGCCGAGGTTGCCGTGCTGGAGAAATGCAGATCGTTACGAAAGCAGATTAATAATATACAAACAGTCTTAGGTAATGCTTGGCTCAGGCTCCAGAATGCTGGTGGGAAGCTCGGCGTCCTCTCACCCACTCCCTTCCCTCTGAAAATGTCACTTATCCCAAAAATTCAGAAGTTGTGTGTCTGTGATGACAGAAATGAAAGGTGAACAGTTGCTTCTCCTCCTCTGGATTTTTCAGGGTTGTACTTTTCTGCCTGGTTTTCGTGCAGTGAGTTCTTGGGGGCAAAGGTTGCATTTGTCTCTTAATGTCAGAGATGAACAAATCATTAATTTTAGAAATAAGTAACTGCAGATGACCAAGCAGCAGCTCCACTCAGTCCTGCCGTGCTGGAAAAGAGCACTGTTGTGTTGTAGTCTCAGGGGGCAGTTTGAAGTCATCCATGACTAAAAAAGAGAGATTTAGATTAGGTATTGGGAAGAAATCCTTCCATGGGAGGGTGGGGAGGCCCTGGCACAGGTTGCCCAGAGAAGCTGTGGCTGCCCCTGGATCCCTGGAAGTGTCCAAGGCCAGGTTGGATGGGGCTTGGAGCAACCTGGGCTAGTGGAAGGTGTCCCTGCCCATGGCAGGGGGTGGCACTGGATGGGCTTTGAGGTCCCTTCCAACCCGAACCAGTCTGGGATTCTGTGATTTCTAGTTCAGTCTTCATCAGCAAACTAATGGAGAAGAAAACTGCTTAGAAATGAGGCAATTTACAAAACCAGGTGTGATTTTTGGCTTTAAAAACCATGCCACGAAAACTGTATCCACCTGCAGTAGGAGTTATCTGATGTTGTCCTCACCAGTGGGTCCTAGGGGAGAAAAACATCAAAACCAGAGGGCAGAGTTCCCTCCCAGAGCCTGGTGATCAGCTGGTGAAGTTCCTCATGTCTCCATCCCTCTCTTTGGCCAGAAGTGGAACCTTTTGCCACCAACCACAGTAATGAGGAGTTGGATACCTATCAGGGTTTTCAGTAGCTTTTCCTGAAATAATGAGGGAAAACAAGGAGTTTTAAACGGAGACTGCTCTGTTTGCAATCATTTATTTTCCCAACAGCCCATCTTCTGCAGATTTTGAAAGTGGGGTGATCTTACCTGTGGAGATTAGTGGAGAAAATAGTGGAAGTACAACACTGCCTTTGTATAATTCACCTGAAGTATCACCCCAGTCTGCTCTGGCCATCCTGTTTCAGCTCTTAATGCTCGTTTTGGATATGGTTTGAGTTGGAAGGGGCCTTAAAGATCTTCTAGTAATGATCAGTTTAGAGAGATGGTATTTCTAAAAGGGAAAATTCCAAGTCTTGCTGTCACCCCAGGGTCAGCTCAAGGTTGGGCTTGGCATCTTGTTCAGGGCTGGCATTTAGACAGGGATAAGGCAACGTGCCAGGAAACTTGAGGCATCGGGATGTAAATGCCTTGCCTCCCATTTCCTTGCAAGGAAAGTATTAAATATGTGGCCACATTAATAGCTGCTTAGTAGAGCTCTGTGAATTAATTTCCTAATTTTAAAGGTAACATTAATCCTCTTGTTGGGAACTGAGCTGGCACAATCCTCTTTTTCCCCTTCACTCCTTGGCTTCTCCTACCTCTGAGCAGGAGCTGAGGCAGTGCCTGCTGATGGGCATCCCACCAGTTGTGGGGATGTGGATCAGCCCCAGCAGTCAGCTGTGGACTTGGGAGCAGTCCTTTCTGGGGAGTTATCTGTACCTTTTCCTCCATCCCATCTTGGGAGGGACTTCTACCATAACATGGAGCTGAGAGATTTTCAGGGCAGGAGGACAAAAGCAGTTGTCTCATGGGAAACTCTCAGAAATCATGAATAAAACTGCTCACATTGCAACACCCAGCTCAACACCTGCA